TTGCTTTCTGTCAATTGTCTTAATGGATTATTATTTTTGGCAATTATATATAAATAGGTTTATTTTGTTTTTAGTTAGACTGCAGACTTTTAATATCAGCTTCCAAATTACACCTGAAACTGGTTTCAAAGGGAGATGAATGCATGTGGTTGCAAGTGTAATTATCTTTTTATCTTCCTGTGTTCTCCATGCAGCATTGCTAACTTGGCATGCTCAATATCTTCAATACTTCCTATGATCAAGCTTATTGATATCTTAATTATAAGTTTTATTTTCTAGTAAATAATTGAACACCTAATTCTTAGATGTTATTGTAACTGAAGATAAATATGTTATACTGTATTGGGTTAAAGATTTTTATTCCCTACCGATGTATCTACAATAATATTTGACTTGCAAATTTGAAGGAGAGGGAACGAGCTTTGAGATCATTCAAGTGTGGCTCTGCTCCAATATTGGTGGCAACGGATGTTGCTTCAAGAGGTTTAGACATCCCTCATGTTGCCCATGTCATCAATTTTGACCTCCCAAAAGGCATAGATGACTACGTTCACAGGATTGGTCGGACGGGACGTGCTGGAAATTCTGGTCTTGCAACTGCCTTCTTCAATGACAAGAACCAGCCACTTGCAAAGGGACTAATTGAGTTGATGCAGGAGTCAAACCAGGAGGTTCCTAGTTGGCTTAACGAATATGCTGAAGGATCACAGACTTATAGTAGCGGTGGCGGTGGTGGTAGGAGCCAAAGGTCTGGTGGCAGTAGGTTTGGTGGCTATGACTTCCGTAGGTCTGCCCAATCAGGGCGTGAGAGTTATTACGGTCCAAGCAGCTATGGTTATGGAGATTGTTCTGTGGGCACTTCTGCTGCTTCCTACAATGATGCTACTGTTCCATACGGCTATGGAAATTATGAAACTATTGTTGCTGGTGGGTGGGAATAGGTATGCAGTGCACAACACCATGAAATATTATATACTTGATGGTGGCATATTTACATAGGGTATATGATAACCATATCAATTGATAAAGGTAGAAATAGTTGCTGCAGACAAGTTGGAGATTCAACAAACCCAATGGTCTTTTGTGTTTTGGAAGATATGATCAAAGTATGGTGTAGCTTGTTTCATTGGGTATTTGTCTTTTGTCATCCTTTTGAATTGAAATTATTGTCCCAGATGTAGAGAAGAGCAGCCTCATTTTGTACAACTCCACTCAGCTTGTTTTTATAGCTGCTGTTATATGAAGCAGAATCTCAGGTTAATAGATTCATGCCCAAGTGCAGTTTAAAATTAAAATTAAATGGTCGTCCTTTCAATCTCATTTTAGTTTATGTTTAATATCAATTTCATCACTTTGATGAGATTTGTAGAGGGATTTCATCATGTTGAAAATAACCATTCAAAATTTCAATACCGTGTTGGTTGTTAAAACGCAAAGGTTTAGTCAGATAGAAAACAACTGGGGGGCTACGTCAACGTACTTCTGCCAGAACTGTTTCCACAAGCATGTGTTCAATTGAACTCTCTTCTGCACTGCAAGTTACCAAAATAGCAGATCAGTTTTATGGCGAGATGTTCACTCAAGCTTTAGTTATATTTCTTCGACCAAAAAAAAAGCTTTGGATATATTTCTTGATGCATGTATACATTTATACGTAAAGATTATTTTTTCCAACACCCTGAATCTCAGCTTAGTTTCATCCATAATATCATTCTTAACAGACGAGATGGGGCTTGCATCATCATCATTTGCGAGAAAAGATATGATGAACGAAACTGAAATATTTTGTGTTGGAAGAAGTATGTAGTTTGTGTTTACCAAGCCATAATCGTCTTTGATTCTATGAAATCCTATTTGGGTAAGATGATGAATGAAGAAATGGCATTCGATCAACATTGCGTATGGGACAATAAGAACATAGAACTCAAAAACAGTGACAATTTATTTATATTTATTTATAGGTTAAAGCAGGCACATCAAATGAATTCCCAATGCTTTCCAGAAAAAAGAAACGGGTTGGAGCGGCTTCACATCATATGCATAATGCATGGCCTACTTCATTAGTTAGAATGTTAAGCCTTTCACATATTTCAATTCCTATGAAATAAATAGAAAACTTGAGAAATTAATTAGCACATAATTTTGGTATGCAATACTTGTTACCTGCATTTTGCTGAATGTGTGGTAATTATGAAATATATACATTTTTCTTGTCCAGCAAAAAATGCACCTCTTTTTTTCCTAGGTAGAATGGGGGCCAATTGGCCAATACCCCCAAACAAAACTAATAGCAAGCACTATAAGCAAAACAGAGTGCACTGAAGGTGGAAGGGACTCAAAGATGGAACATCCCAGCTCAAGATTCACAGCAAGGTTAGCTAGTGAGTCAGCCACATTTTTCAGTTTATGAACTAAAAACTATCTACCTTTCAATCGATTGAAAAATTGCAAACTCGGCGTTTTTCAGCGCATTAGATTTCTTCCTCGTTCTCTGTCAGTATCCGCTTGCATGCCTCGTAACACATGAAGGATATCCCAGCAGCAGGGACCAATTTCATGTAGCTTGGCCCCAACCCTCTGTATAAACCAGCAATTCCTTCACTCTCAAGTATGCTAGAAAGAGCATGAAGTATGTGCTTGTATTGTCTCCCATTCAGAGCCCCGACCTGCATTTTCTTTCTAGCCACCTCAAGTGGGAAAGTTGCACTGCTTGAAATTGCAGCAGCTGCTGACCCAATTAAGAGCGTCGTTATATTTCCGATTTCCTCCTTTTTGGAAGCTTTCTTGTAAGCTTTTGAGAGTGCATCATAAGCAAAGTAATTGGTGGCAGCATATGGAATTACTCCAATTAAACTTGGGGTGAGGCCTCTATACAGTCCTGCAGGTCCCTCCTCTTGGACAATTTTAGAAAATGCGTGAAAAAAGTTATGGTACACTCCTCTCTGCAATCAACATAAAAACCTGTGAGTACCGATGCAAAGAAAAGAAGCCAATAAATTCAATATCCTTTTCAGGCTCCGGATTACCTGCACTGTTAATCGTGTTTTTAACAATTCCAGAGGGTATGTACACAAGGTTGAGCTAAATCCAGCGACAGCGCCTGCGATTGATGAAGCGGGAATAGGGATTTTCAGCTCCTCCCCAGGTCGAGTCAAGTGCTTATTAACTGTATCATAAGCGAATAACTGCACATAGGTTCCATCAGCAAATGAAAATACTTACCAAATAGTGTAGTTCAGAAATATGCAGTGTTTAGATAGGCAGGAACCAGACCAATCAGATTTGAAAATCTATAGATACATAGTAAAGGAGGGAAAACACAAGCATTCAAAGAAATGATATAGAACTACCAAACATATATTTTACGGAGAGAAAAAAGATCCCCAAGAATCATACTAGAGCTTCAGCTAATCAGTTGAGTAAATGTGTGCTAATCCACTGATTCTCCAAATAATATACCAGCTCCCAATAAATTCAAGAGAAGGCCAACACCATCGTCGTCAATATCTCTGGCTGATCAAATATTAATGTAGAAATCTCAGCCTAGTGCTGGATCTGGTGAGCAAGTAAGAAATAAAATTAATAGCATCTCACAACAGAGGGAAAAGAAGCAAATCAGTGAATAAAATACTTCTCAGCTAAAGAATTCACTGCATAGCGATTTTTGACAAGAATTAAACCAACAAAATACAACCATACAGAGTGAAATATTTGTTCAACTTAACAAGTCTTCCAGCACAACTCTACTTACTCAAAGATTGTTGCAATCAACTATCAAAGATGTCATGTCAGCTATCAAAATTCAGTTGTAAAAACACAAAATTCTTGACCTCATACCTCAATAGCCTTGTTTGGGGCAACGCGGATGACATTGACCAAAGTACCCCTGAATAAGCCTTGCCATCCATCAGTCTCCATAATAGATTGAAATACTTGAGAACTGGAGTGACCACAGCTCCCCGCCATCAAATGGGTCCTTATTGTCTCCAATGGTGCAACCGCAGTGCGTGACACCACGCCTGCTATTGCTCCACTGAACAACCTTCTTAGTGATGCATTCCCAATCTTAATTTTCAATTTCAAACCACCCCTTTTGTTGTTCTTGAGTAGCTCTTCTTCTCCAAGCTCCAATGCCTCTCCTTCCACCAACTCATCAACCCTGCCAATCCGCAAACCAAAATCCGGAGTTGGCATATATTTCATGTATGTGGAACTCAGAAGCTTTGTGCTTTTATCTATAGGATTCTGAGGATTTGGTGTAATAACAAACCCCCTTGCTACTTGACCAACGCTTGCAAACAACCCACCAGCGTGAGATGCAGGGCTTCGATTGATCCTAATTACAGAACAAGAGAACACAACACCGTTGGTTGCATTTTCAGTGCCTTGCAATCTTCTTCTACCCATTAATCCAAAGCTTGAAACTAAGATGTCTTCTTCAAGTTTCCAATGTAGTAAGAATGTTGCTTTTGTTTTGTATGAACATATAAAAAGAGTTGGTTGGCTTAATGGGTATCAACCAAATTGGCGAAAAGACGTTTCTTTTTCGGAATAAGAGAGCATAAGGTATGTGAGATTTTCAATACAGAGATTGCTACATGGTCTGCAGGAAGAATGAAAAACTATAAGAAAAGGCTTTCCTCTCGGCAGATTGCAGGAATAAAGAAGGATGACGTGCTCTTCGGAAGAACGGCTTCTGCATTGGTTGGTCTCTGTTTTTCTTTGTGCGTATGAGAAGAAGATCACGTCTAGCTGCTAATATTGCAAAACTAGGAGAGCCAACTATATTCGGGTCTTTTTTGAAGTTGGGATTAAAGGGCAAGTCGGGTTTATTTTTTGTGGTTTACAATAATACTTAATTTAGATAAAAACCCAAATACTTGGATCCGCTTTACTAAATCCATATATCAGACGAATTATCCACCTGTTGTGAATATAAAAATTGATCTTTTGGTTGTCGACGTTCCATTCCAAATTACTATGTGAAGAGAGGACGAAAGTTGTTTTGTGCCATAATTCATTGGAAGACTCTCATCAACTACACGTGGACACATTTCATGAACTTGGAAATCCATATCTCCAAAGACATGTAGACCATAGAAATTCCACCTTCCACACATACATGTAAATATATGTAGGAGAGAGCGAGTGAGATTGAATACTTTTCTCCTGAAAAATAAAGCAGTCTTACACAAAAACTTTTGATTCCAAATAAATAAACTTGTAGAACCTACTTCAAAACTCCAACAGCTTATCATTGTCATCATCACTAATAATAACTTCACTTTCCCTTGCTTTTACTTGAAGATCCCTTCTTTAATGGCTTCTTGTGAAGGTTCTTCTTTGGTTTCAACTTGCTTGAGGATGCTGGAGACTTCTCCGGTCTGTTCTTTCGTTTCTTGTCTTTCTTGACATTATACATGTTAACAGCCTGTGTCACAAAGATTCAATTAATAATTGGAAAATAAAATGCGGCAAGAAAAAACCAAGGCCAGCGAAAGAGATTAAACCTTATCAACATTAAGTATCTCATGGGAATTCTTAGACATTAGCTTGTTCAGAACTTTCTCTGTTTGCTCCTTCTCTTGCGAGTGTTTGCCCTTTCCTTCTACAACTGGTAAAAACTGAATGCAAAAGCCGGAAAAAAGGGTCAAGTACTTTACCATTTTATCGAGATATGTAACAATTAGTTGTACATGGCTAGGATGAGAATACATACCTTGCGAAACTTTCCTTTATGTTTAGAAGGCTTTTCGCCTGGCAATTTCTTGTCAAACTTTCCACCACTGGCTGTTGCAGTTGCTGCTATTCCAGCTACATTCCCCAATTCGTCTTTAGTAACCTTCTTAGGTGCAGCCTGGGTTCCCGTTATGGGCAACCTTGTAGCTGCTAGTTGAACATGACTGCAAAAAGAGTTTACTTAAGTTATTGTGTTCCAATGCAAGAAAAACATAATAAGATCTCTGAAACTTGTCCAAAGTGTGAACTTACAATATAAAGGCTAGCTTATTACGTTTTTCTGGATCTTAAAAGGACAGAATTTGTTGTTACAGATGGTCAAATTAAATGTGTATGCTGCTAACTGGTTTTCTAGTTTAACCAGTGATGAGATATCTATGCTTTGAATAACACAGAGAAGTAAAAGGTCAAAACCTTGGCAGAGCACCGACTTTTGCAGCTTGCTTCAAGTTCTGCAACCTATTTTTGTCTTGTTTTTCAACTCGTTTCTTTTTTTCATCTTGCCTTTTAGCAAAAGGATCTTCCCCTGGCACTGCAAAAAGTGAAATCCATGGGCACAAAGACAAGTTTTTGGGTCTTATCGACAAAATAAAGCATGTGTTTCAGTGCTTATAAAAAGAATATAATGACTTTTCTGAAGGCCTCAAGGGTTTGAATTAACTACCATCAGTCATCTTCGCCTCAATGATAGGCACACTATTCTCATCATTTGCACGATCATATCCAAAGCGACGTTTCCACGACTGACTTGGCTCATCATATGCAACCTTGTCTCTTTTACGATTCTTTATACCTGCAAAAAAAAAACATAATATAACCAACACATACAAGTTCAGCTAGTGGATATTCCATTTTTCAAAATCTTAAATCCAACTAGATTTCTCAAGGCCCAAAAAGCCAAACATGCTAAACCTCAAACAGAGCCTTTTGGGTTGGGGTTGGGGAAAGAGGGAAAAAAGGGGAAATAAAAAAAATTGTTTCATTCATATAACTCCATACGGTAATGACTAACCTTTCGCTTTGGCAAACTCTTCCCATTTTGTAGGAGGTTTAGGCACTGGAAGCTGTAGAAAACAAAGAAATATGCAATTGGCAGTCAAGTCTTTATGCTAAGAATACAATAGAAACTCTTAATGCAGTTACAGAAAACAACCAGCAGCACTAACAGCCCTTATGCATATGCCAAGATTCTAATAAACCAATTTGCATGAGGGGTGCGATAATTTAGCAGCACAGAAGGGGCATCAATAAGTAACAGGAACCCCTCAGACCCCTTAAGAAGTAAGTTCTTTTTCTAATTGTTTTAGTTATTTAAAAGAAACCATGCATTCAGAACTTTCATTCCACTTATTTTCAAATGATAGATTGTTAAGCAATATATTTACGATCACACATATCTAGAAACGAAGCGGAATGACTTACATGCTTCTCTCTGGGCAATTTAGTTTCTGGACGAGGCAACTGCACAAGGGGACCATCTATGTCTTCAGTTGAAGGTAAGTTGAAAAGTTTGTCCGCAATCGATTGAACCAACTCAGTGCCTTTTGTTAGACATTCCTTCACTAATTCCTCCCTAAATGTAGTGAAAAATAAATAAAATAAGAAAATCGGCAAATGAACAAACCATTTTTAATGGTCAGATATCGGACCAACCACAATCATAAGGCTATGAGATTACCAAGTTCTCAAACACAAAAAGTCACAAACCCAGTGCTACACAAAATATTACCAAATAATAAACGATAAATAAAATAATTAATTATAAAAAATAGTAATAATAATAACCTGGAGGAGGGGATTGAGGGGAAGTGGTGATGAGGGTCGAAGGCCATGAGATTACCAAGGTCGATTTGAATCTGGTTCGGGGTCTCCATTACTGCGACCTCTTTGGTTGTACAGCTCGGGACTTGAAAGCTAAAGAAGAAGAGAACGAGCAACTCCCAGGGTTTATGTATAACGACCAAACGCCGACGTTTTCGTTCTCTGTGTGACCAATATTTGTAAAAACCTAGAATTGGGATTAATAGGGCTTTTATCTTTGTTTGGCAATCGTATATTGGGCCTTGCCTTACTGTATTTTGGGCTTAACATAACGACTTTTCAACCGTTGCCACGCAAACACGTCCTTAAAAACAAGAATTTCACTTCCGCTAAATCACTCTTTCCCAAATCCCCACCGTGTCGGAGTGTGCCCCAAAGCCCGCGAACAATGAAACCCTAATTCGATTAAAATTTCCAATTCCCAGAAATTGATTGATCCCTAGAATACGTCTCCCTCGGATCCATTTCGGTCGTAAGTCAAATTTCCCAGAATTGTTTCAATTTCATTGCTTTAGCAGTTTTCTTTATTCTGGCGATTTTCAGCAAACAGAATTCAATTTCTGATTCAAGCATCGAATTTTTTTTTTTATGGGTTGCGTGTTCTTGAAACTTCATAGTGGTTCCTTATTGGCTTAGTTTTCTTGGAATTATTTTGTGGGGATTGGTTGTCTTTGTCTTCTGTGAAAGTTTTTGAGATGGACGGAAACAAAGACGATGCTTTGAAATGCTTCAAAATTGGGAAAGAAGCTTTGGAAGCTGGGGATCGAACCCGTGCCCTAAAATTCCTAACTAAAGCTCGACGTCTCGATCCGACGCTACCCATCGACGATCTCTTATCGTCGATTGAGGGCAATTCCAATCCTCAGTCCGGTTCAGATGCTGGTGGGTCTGCCAATGGGCCATCTGGGTCGGCTACAGCTAAGCCGTCCGATCAACCCTCGCTTCGCCAAAGAGTTCCGTCAACTGATGGATCTTCATCCTCTAAAGTATCACCAGCTGCTGTGTACACGGAGGAGCAGATTGCGATTGTGAGGCAACTGAAGAAGAAGAAGGATTACTATGAGATTTTGGGTGTGGAAAAGAGCTGCACTGTTGAAGATGTTCGAAAGGCTTATAGAAAACTGTCTTTGAAGGTTCATCCGGATAAGAACAAGGCGCCGGGAGCTGAGGAAGCGTTTAAGGCTGTGTCGAAGGCGTTTCAGTGTCTTAGCAATCAAGAGAGTAGGAAAAAATATGATGTTATGGGCTCGGATGAGCCTGTTTACGAGAGACGTGCTTCCAGCCATGCAGCACATGGATTTAATGGTTTTTATGATGGGGATGTTGATGCCGAAGAGATCTTTAGGAACTTCTTCTTTGGAGGAATGGCTCCAGCTACCCAGTTCCGTGGATTCAGTTTTGGGCATGGCGGAATGGGACAGAGGGCTGGTGGTGATCATGGTTCTGGCGGGTCCCATATTCGGACTCTAATTCAGTTGTTGCCTGTGTTGCTTATTCTGCTTGTCAACTTTATGCCATCTTCGGAGCCTATCTATGCCCTTTCCAGGTCCTATCCCTATGAATACCGCTTTACTACGGAAAAGGGTGTTAATTTTTATGTTAGGTCAACTAAGTTTGAGCAAGATTTCCCGCCAGGTAGCTCGGAGCGTGTCACGCTAGAGCAACGCGTTGAGAGAGAATACTTCAATATTCTTTCCCAGAACTGTCGGCTTGAGCTGCAGCGCCGCCAGTGGGGATTTATTCGTGAAACACCACATTGTGACATGTTGCAACGGTTTGAGACGGCAGCTTAATGTGTCTCATTTATCCTGGTATATTTTCTTTTAGATGGTGTACAATTATGTCTATTGTGGATAAAACTAGTGAGTTAATGTGCAATAAGTGATTCTTTGCTTCTTCTTTTTCTCGTGCACAAGCTAATGTTGTATGTGTGATCAGGTTACGGTTTATATCCGTTGCTCCAGCTATAAACTATCGTAGATATGATCCCTTGCTAAAGTAATTTGTATATATGCACTTGAAAATGGTGCGGTGGGTGTACATATATTTTGTGAAAATTTGGAGTCTGACCTTTGAGAGATATGATAGTTAAGGTTCTGAAAGGTTGAATCAGCATACAAGGCCATCTCATATGCATGGTGTTCTCATGAATTCTTGTATTATGTCTGATTGCAGAACCTTTTTTTACCTCAATTCTTCTTTCATTGATGTACTGTTGCACTTGACGACAAGAGGATTCGTTGGCTAGTTTGATGGAACTATATGTTTGCTTATCTATGGTTTCAACTATAGAACTTTGAAACAAAAATGATTGTTGTTATCATTTTCGTTCTTCAAAATATTCCATGTTAACCCCTGTCTGAATAGCATCGCATATGCACATGATTGAAAGAAAGATTTGCATAATGTTCTGCGAAAACAATCTAGTGTTATCATGTTCCTGCAGCTGCGATGTTTGTGTTGACTTGTTCATTTTTTTGAATGTAATATTGTTGTGCTTTGGCTTTTACATGATGGAATTTAAATGCCCCCTTGTTTTCGAAATTGTAACAAAGTGCTTTACATTCTTCTTTTTTCGTGCAGACTACTTGTAAGGTGCCAGTCTTTCAGTTTTCCTGTTGTGGACGGTGCATGGAGCACAATCGAGGGAAGGATCATAGCTGCAAATTTTGAAGTTCTACTTATTAAAACTTGACAGTGTCCACCGCCTGCACACATTTTCTGTTCTTTAGTCTTATACATGCACAATGACTTTGTGTAAAATTTTCTGTGATTTAACTAATGTTTCCATGCATGAATTATCACGGATGCAACGAGCTAGTATGTAAGCTTTTCTATTGTTAATGTTACATATCACGTTCAACATAATTTTTCCTGTGCTGGTGTAATTGCCGAGGGAGTTTTGTGGCACTGGCATGGCATCTAAGTTTAAGCGATCCAGATTACATCCATTTGTAAAGTCTACATAAAATGTTGTGGATTAGACATGCATGGTTCAAGGAGCCATATATATACTTGAGATGTGATCGTTACCATAAATAAAGGAAAAATGATTTCTGTATTGACAAATTGTGCCACACGAGTGTAGAAGAATAGCATTATTCTGGTTGCTAATCTTCGTTTCTTTTACTTTTCTACTTTCATTAGTATAATGAACCAGTTGATTGTGCCATTGATTGCGACAATGATAAATGGCCTAATACTTTTCTACTTTCATTAGTCTTAATATTTTCTTTATCCTTCAAAATAAGGATGAATTATTGATGCTGATGCCTTGCTACAATATGGCAGGGGGTACGGAAAAACAAAAATTACAACTGGCTTCTCTCTCTCTCTCTCTCTCTCTCTCTCTCTCGCGTCTCTTCCCCTGCTTCAGAAAAGAAATGTGTATCTCTACACTGGTATCCTTAATCATTCGAGGTTATGACCAGCAATCCCAGTGCCCCTATCAGAATGTACTGCAAGAACAAAAACACCTTGTTAATTTCGCTCTCCCAAGCCTCAGCTGTAGTCTGTAGATACTTAGGCATATTGTAGGGGGCAAAAACTCTTAAACAATTTCGATTGTTTTTTTCTCTGTTTTTCTGAGATTCATAGGATTTATGGGCATATGAGTTACACGTAGAAGAGCCTTCTAATATGAAGAATGTCAAAATTTTATTTGTAACTGACTAATGCACGATTAGAAGCAAATCTGAAGAATGTCTTCAACTTAAGGATGCTATAGATATACACACAGCATGGTCTAAAATCCAATAAAAGCAAACCTTGATTATAGGCCTCTCTGTCATGATAATTGTCACCCATCCAACATAAGGCAAAAACCTGCAGAGGAACGAAATACAAATGCAAATCAAAAGGCACACTTTCAGCATGTATGATACATATATATTGACAAATACATATGTATATATGATTAGGCAGAGAGGCAGAAATAGCCCACAATCGAAGATCTACCAGGTAGAACTCAACTTTCATAGAAACAATTAATTTTTACATACATCAACCCATTAAACTAGACAGCTTCATGCTGAAAATAATAGAATCGACTATGGTAAAGCAGCCTTGTGTTAGTTTGTATGTGACTTCAGTGCATCAAATGTTCAAAACATAACCAGAACAATTCTGATTGTTTGAAAAAGTCAAATCTCTACATTAGTATTTCGTAGTTGTCAATTTACCTAACAGATATAAACAAATTACCCAACAGCTCAAAGAAAATGATAAATATAAGAAAATAATACCCAACAGCTCTCCCCATGATATGGCGTCGTTGCAACCAATGCTGGCCCCGAGCATACAGGGCCCTGTCATCATCGTCGTTATTGTCTCCTGCAAAAAAAAAACACAAAGACTACAGTTACTAAAATCATACAGTATAAAATGATTTTCAGAATCTGAAATACTGAAACATATTTAAATCCTCAAACTTTTCCCAAGTTACTATGTCATCATCTAATGACTTCAAGATTTTTTTTTCCAGTTTCTTCTTTTACAAATTATAAGAAGAGATGACCTGCAAAGAATTTGTATAATTGACAGGAATACAAAGATTTAAATGGTCTAATCGATCTGCCTAGAAAAGAAAATAGTACCTTTTGTGAGGACATAAACTTCTCCAGTATCTTTCCGCTCATGAACCTAACAGAAAATGGCCATCAACATTAAACAGATTCATCTAAGCTGAAGGGAGGTGCTATGATGTCACAGGGTCACCCTTTTGCTCAGATGGTTAACTTCATCTAGATATTAAATCATGATTCTTACCTTAATTACTCTATGAACGATTGGAATGTCACGTCCCTAGACAAAGCAAAAAATATATATTAGCAGAAGTACAACTACAAGTGTAAAAACACAATAAATTGCATACATAGGCCAGTAGTATGACCCAAAAGAAAATTTTGTAATTATCATCAGTTATGAAAGCAACACCATAATGAGAAACCAAATGTCATAGCTAAGATATTGCCGAGTGCCAAATATTCTCTGTCAGATCATGTACTCTATACTGATGAACCAAAAGGACACCCAACCTCCAGCAGTGAAAGCTAATCATGCAATGCTTGTTTCATAAAGTTCAGAGTAAATTAAGTATAATAAGCATATGATAAAAGCCAAAACATACTAGATGATGCTCATAAATGGATTAAACAAATAAGAAAAAGTTTAAATGAATAAACTAAAGGAGAAATAGCATAAAAAGGGCATACATCCACATTAAACACCACAATTTCTCCTGCCCGAATAGGATCCTCGCTCATATGCAAGAACAAAATGTCACCCTGAAAGACATCATCATGTCAACAAACAAATGAAAAAGAGAAAAAGAAAGCACATATTTTTATTCATGTTTAATGGTAAAATGAGATGCCAAAATTTGAACGAAAAACAAAGATGAGTGTCTGTAACAGTGAAGCACTTCACGTTGTAAACAAAAAGCCCCCCCGGCATAACTTTGTAGAACCGCAGGTGATAACACGGTAAAGTGGTTTCAAACAAAATATTGATAGGTAGTCCAATAACCTATAAGATGCTATTGGGCTACACAACAGCGGATAGCCTTTCCCTTCTCAAATCTCTCATCTTCCATGATGTGGACCCAAGACCTACTTTTAAAGGAAGAGATGCACAAATGGCAGCAAGGACCATTCATAAACATTTTTTTATCTGAAAGAATACAATGCAACTAGAATAATGGTGGTTTATTAAACATCTGAATGTTGGAACAACCTAGATTCTAGAAACATGCTTTTCTGAACGAAAATAATCAGCACCTGAATCTCTAGGTATATACCACTATATTAACGCATTGGTATATATACCATTTGACAAAATCTTGTATACAGCTATTTCAGAAAACTGAAAAATATGTAACCACTCAACTCTTACAGTCAGAAACACCAACGATCACCAAGACACCAATTGCCAACTTCTTTTAAAACACAGTAATTGCTCAAACCAAGTACAATGCATAGTCTCCATCCCAAACTTAAATTCAGGCCCTACAGTTTTGTTTTAACTTGAAACATGCTTTTAAGTTCAAGCGACTCTTTTGGATTAGAACACTGAGTCCTGGACACATAAACAACTCTTGGGTACAATTTTTCTGCAAGACAAAGAAGTTTTAAAAGGGAATTGAACTCACCCTTGCAAAGCCAGGCTCCATGCTTTCAGAGAGCACAACCACCACAGGTGATTCGCTCCCAGTCATGCATATTAACCCTTTCCATATAATCAATGCCGACGTGACAATCAAACCTGCACCAAATATCAAACACCTAAACTGCAATCTCATTCTTTTTTTGTAAGTTAATTGAAACAAATAGAAAAACTTTTGTGCAGTGAAACAAAGAAATACATGGGTTCGGGGTTGTACGGACCGAGAGTGAGGGCTTGAGAGAGAGCTTGTCTGATCTGAATGGACTTGACGGAGTCCATGGTCTCCCCGAACCATCCCATTAGAGCTTACGGGTTGTAGTTGTAAAATGCTGTGGTCGTCTGGTTTTTGCAGAACTATAATTTGGCGGTGGCGGTGGTGCAGTGATCGCAGAACTAGTCTGTAATCGCAAAAGAAAATGGGATTTCGCGGTGAATGTTTGATAATCTTTGATTTTAACCCCGGGGGATCTGACAATAAGAGAGAGAGGGCCGCGTTGAAACAACATTCTGTCACCCGTCAAATTATATGTCGCCAACTGGACAGCCACAGCCACTTAAAGATGAGCACTATCTGTTTGGTTCCATTTAGACACGTCAAGTGGTGAGAATGGTGGTGAATATCCACCTTAAGTTAAAGTGATAGTGAAAAATACTCTCAAATTGATAACTAAACTGAACATATTTTCAAATCGTAGTCAACCAAATAAGAATGGTTTGGCTCGGTTCAATTTACTGTAATTTTGATTTGGGATGTTTGGTTGCTTGTGCATGTGCAAGTTGGATTGAAAAATCCGATTCCAACCGATTTAGTTACAAAATTTTCCGATTTTGGCAAATCCAAATCAATTATGACATCCAAAATCTGAAAATTCCGATAAAAATTGAATTGGAATTGGAATGTATCTAGAGATTCCAAAAAAAATTAAATTTCATGTTCAACTAAATATAATTTGATGACCAAATAGACAACCTCTAAAAGATAACAACATCTAAGTACTAGCATATAATAGTTTGCCAAGCTTATAGTGTGTACTTCCAATGACAACAACAAAAAGCTTATAGTATGAGTTTTCAATTTTGAGTCAAATTTAATTCTTCAAATGGTTGGGCATGTTTATAATTTTTAGCTAGTTTCCAAAAATTTCAACAACAAAAACGGAATATGTAAGTTCCAAAAGTTTCCAAAAATGTTGAGTTTTTCGAATTGGAATTGAAATTGAAATTGAAATTCCTATTTTTTTTGGAACGTAACTGGAATAGAATTTTCATTCCAAATATGTTTGGATTAGAATTGAAATCCCCTTATTATGATCCGATTTGTCCGAAAATCATGCCTAGTTGCTTGGTTTCATCAACCTTATAGTAACATAAATATTTCAAGTTCCAATAAAAATGTGACATGTTTAGTAAAAAGTAATTGTGCATTGAATTATAATAATTGATTTGGTTCGATTTATTAATGGGTTGTGCATTATTCAACTTACATTTTAATCGGGATTTTGGGTTAATTTTCGAACTAAAATGAACCGTGAGTTTGAAAAGATTGATACTTGATTTTCTCACTCAAATGTTGACCCCTACTCATCTATTTGGATATCAAGTTTAATATACTCACATAGGAGATAAGACCCTTTTGTATATGAGTCACATTGAAGGCATGTTTACTAATCCGTAATTGGATTAGGAGAAATTGAATTGAGGAGGAGTTGGATTGAGGAGAATTAGATTTTGGATTCCTATTGAAGTCGTTTATTAAACCATATGGAATTGGGATAGGAGTGATGCTAATTACTAAAATGTCCTCGTTGTTTGATTAAAGTAGATGATAAATCTAGAATTTTGAAAATTGTGTGAGTATATAATGAGTAAAAAAAATGAATTCCTAATGGGTTAATTTTTCATGAATTAGAACAACACCTCCCACCCAAGAATTGAATTTCTCCAAAATCAGGAATTCAATTCCTAATTTTGTGTGGGTCCCACTTACATTTCAATTCCTTGATGTGAAGTAAACGCAAGAATCCTCCAAAGGTGGACAGGTGGAATTCAATTCATAATGAGAATTCAAATTTCTGATTAGTAAACACACCATGAGTCTCACCCCTTGTGAGAGTGAGCACATAATCTCCCCAAAATTTATTATGAATTAGAAGCATGGTGATTTGTTACTACAATTTAAAATAAGACGAAACTCAATAAAGTTTTATAAACTTTCCAAATATCATTGTGTTGAAACGATAATTTTTACATCTGTTGGGCCCGAAGTTTTCAAAAAAAGAAGGGGTGGCAACCCATTTAAAATAAAATGCCAGCTGTAAACTTGTATTTGAATGGGACTGAAATTTTCCTCCCTGCAAGTTTATCAAAAAAATACAAGTGTTTGCCAAGTATTAAACACTGAAAGATAAGCGTCCCAGCGGAGAAGTGGCTATTCACTTCAACTCAAACTCCTCAAAACTCATGCTCTATAAAAGAGTCATGCCCAAATAAAAAGGGGGGACGGAGAAAGGAGAAAAAAGAAAAGAAAACAGAGAACGGAAGGAGCAGAAAGGAGAATAGCCGCAGGAAGAAAAGGAAGACAGCAAGCATACCAAAGAAAGCAAGAGCCATCTCAAGGTAAAATCTTAGTTTTGTGGCGTTGTTTTCTTGTTTGCTGAAGGTTCCAGGTTTCGTTCAACCCAAAGGTTCCTGGCTATGATGATTTTTATCATCATAAAAACAGTCAGGAATCTCTGAGGTACGTCTCCACTCAAGCATTTCCAAGTATGCAATCTGCACCTAGCTTTTGATCAGTCCATAGAGATTTTTGGCTATGATGATTTCTATCATCATAAACCAAGTCAAGAATCTCTACAAGGCTCGACTCGGCTCAAACGATTCCAACGATGTTTTCAAAGCGTCCAGTCCACAACCGACAGGAAATATTGTCCTCTGATGATTTCAATCATCATATATCAGGGGATAATCTATTCCAACGGACAGCTCCGCTCAAGTATACAATATGCACCCATCTTTTGATCAGTCCAAAGAAAGATTCTTGGCTATGATGATAGAAATCATCATAAACAAGTCAAGAATCTCTCTAAGGCATGTCTCCACTCAAGCATTTCCAAGTATGCAATCTGCACCTAGCTTTTGATCAATCCATAGAGATTTTTGGCTATGATGATTTCTATCATCATAAACCAAGTCAAGAATCTCTCCAAGGCTCGACTCGGCTCAAATTGCGTAAAACTGGTTTGAAGCATCTAAAACCAAAAGGGCCGCATGGCAATTGAATTGCCTCCTCATGAGTGTTTGCTGCCAGCAAGTCAACAAAAAGAAAATAAAAAGAAGATGAAGAAGATAGCCAGCGGAAGAGAGAATGGAGCAAAGGAAAAGTGATGGTTTTACTTGTTTGCAAAGAGACAAAACAAAGAGAAGGCAGCTAAAAATGACAATGTGTTAAAAAAAAAAGGGGTCGTGTCGCACAGTCCCTCCCCCTCTTGAATGACTTGTCTTGGTCTATTTGACTTAACAAATTCAGCAAAGAAAAAGATGTTGGCAATCGGAAAAGGGACTGCTACAGTAAACAAAAAGAGAGGAAGAATAGGCATAATAAATGTTCAACCTATATTTGTTTTTGGTGGCTGAAGCAAGAAGACAAATTGCTCTCAAAGTTCTCGATGTAGCCCACAGCAAGGCACCTCCTTAATCTGCAGATCCAAAGAAAAAAGTCAGCCGCATGGAAACAAACAAAAGAAAAAAAAGAAGAAAGGGAAGTTTATGGGGTGGGTTACCACGTGAAATCCCAGAGTTTGTCTTTTCTTTTGATGATGCAACAGGTGGCTGTACGAACTGGTCTGGAAAGGCAAACAAAGAAAGAATATCAAGTGTTCGTTTGCCGATGATTTTAAGTTGTGGTGCACATGTTTTCTTTTATAAATAAAAGAAATACATATAGCCCAATCCTATATGGACAAGGGGTTTACTTTCCTGGATGAGGGGTTCCAAATCAACAAGGAGGTTAATTCTGACTCTATTTGGACAGGGACTTTTATCCTTGGGTGTCTTGATAAAATTAAAAGACATTTGTTAAAGGCACCAGGCTGTAAGGGACCAGCTGGAGCAAAGCAGGGCCACAGTCGCTTCTCCTTCACGGCTTCATCATCAAAATCAGCAAGTTCAATTTGTGGGATTGTTATGTTTCTCAATGCTTTTAAAAGACATAGAGAAATTCCCAAAATTTTCTGAACTTCTCTTACTGCAGCGAAGACATTTTCAATGGTGTTTGTGTTTGCTGAGGAAGACAACAAAAGAACAGGGATGGAGGCCTTAGCAAAAAACCATGTTGATCTATCAAAATAAATGATAGGAAAATGGGCAAGGAACTCTGTCAAGCACCCAAATTGTGAAGGCCGCATGGCCTTGAAATTTCTCCCCTCCATGCAACTCAACTCGTTTGGCACATAGGGGAAAGAAAGAAATGGCAACAGGACCTACTCTGACAAAAGGGTGAGGTCATGTTGTTGTGTGATAACAAGAAAAAAAAAGGAAGTAGTGGGGCCATGTCGCATGGTCCTCTTGTTTGATCTTTCCCCAATTCTATCTGAAGCCAGTTATAGTCTTCTAAAGCTGTTGTTCAGTTCTATTTTTGGGGCAAACAGATATCAGTCCGGCTTCAATTGGCAGCTGGGTTTCAAAGTCTCTTTAATGTGGACTCCATGCTCGTGATCCAACTGATGAAAAATGTCGAGGCCTGGAAACAGATTATTGGGTTATCAAAAATTGCCCATTAATTCTCAAAAGCCCAATGTGTTTAATGAGTGATCAAATAAAGACTCATTAAGCATACAGATGCCCAAATGGCCTGTAATATGGTTAATGGATCAATTTTAAAATCCTCAAAGCCATATTCAGGTCCAAGTGCAAATGTCAATTTTATGGAAAATCAATGGGATAATTAAAATTACTCATTATTTTTCTTGGACATTGACAACAAGAAAAATGGTACAAAACCATCTAAATCTCCCATGGGTCATCTACCCATGAAAATTCCAACGAGATTAAATTCGAATCCCTCAAACAGAAATTCTCAATTAGTGGGTCACACTTACCCATTAATTTCCAATTTTTCCCATAGGTCATCTACCTATGAAAATCTCCAAATTGTCTCAAAGACACAAATTCTTAATTAGTGGGCCACACTTACCCATTAATTTCCAAATTTTGGAACTACGCCGGTTTGATCCCATCGAGGGTACGTAGGCAGTCTAGCATACCAATAGACGCAACCGCAATCAAATTCCCACCAATCAAATCTCCATACAAATCTTTTTGGAACTACGCCGGTTTGATCCCATCAAGGGTACGTAGGCAGTCACTAGACGCAACCGCATCCACACAAAATCCCAAGTGGTACAAAACCACGCCAAATCCCAAGTGGTACAAAACCACGCCAAAATCCCAAGTGGTACAAAACCACGCAATTTAAACAATCTCTTCCGAACTACGTTGGTTTGATCCCTTCAAAAGGGTACGTAGGCAATCTAGAGATTCAATCTAGATGCAACCGCCCAAATCTCA